CAACAGAATCCTGGCGTTAAAAGATGAGAATGAAAATTGGATTAGTGAACCTCAGGCCCTTAAAGGAATGATGGTTGACTTCTTTCATAAAGTTTACATGGACGAAGGGATTCCCATCATTCCCTTCCCGGTATCTGGTTGCTTTCCTCAAGTCACGAGCCTTTCCTTTCATTGGTTACACGTGAGTCCTTCCAATTTGGAAATCAGAGAAGTTCTCTTTGCGATGCATCCCTTCAAGGCTCCTGGACCAGATGGCCTCCAAGCGATTTTTTCCAGTCTCAATGGGATATCATTGCAGATTCCGTGTGCGGGCTCATCAGGAGCGTTTTTGAAGACCCTGCTCAAGTGAGATCCATCAACAGATCCCTTATCTTCGTGATACCTAAAGTTGAAAATCCAGTCTCTATCAAGAATTTGCGTACAATCAGTCTGTGTAATGTGGTGTTTAAAACGATCACCAAAATTGTTGCCAATCGTCTAAGGCCTCACTTGAGCTCCCTCATTCTGCCTAATCAATGTAGCTTCATTAGAGGAAGGCATAGTACATACAATATAATTATTGCCCAGGAGATCATGCACTCCATGAGAATAAAAAAAGGTAGAAAGGGTTGGATGGCAATCAAAGTTGACCTTGAAAAAGCTTATGATAGGATAGATTGGGGTTATCTTCGTCTTACTCTTGTCGAAGCTGGACTCTCTGCTGAAGTGGTTCTTTTGATAATGGAGTGTGTTTCCATTACCTCCATGAACATTATTTGGGACGGTTCGACTAGAAGGGGCTTCAATCCGTCGAGGGGTATTAGACAAGGAGACCCCTTATCTCTTTATCTTTTTGTTTTGTGCATCAAAAGATTAGCTCATTTGATCCTTCATGCCCTTAACACTAACGAGTGGGAACCAGTTATTGTAAGGAAAAGAGCACCGCCTATTAGCCACCTCTTCTTCGCTGATGATCTCCTCCTCTTTTCTGAGGTTTCCGTAGACCAAGCAATTCTCATTGAGAAGATCCTCAATTGTTTCTGCAAGGCTTCAGGTCAAAAGGTCAGCACCGATAAGTCTAAGATATTTTTTTTCGAAAAATGTCCATCACTCCAAAGCTTCTGAGATTGCTCAAGTGTTGGGCTTCTCCCTAACCTCATATTTGGGGAAGTATTTAGGTATCCCACTCTTGCATGACAGAGCTAGTGATACATATTTCAATCATGTTCTTCATAAGATGGATAACAAAATTTCCAATTGGAAGAAATCCTCCTTGTCGATGGCTGGTAGGTCAACCCTAGCTCAATCTGTTTTGGCCTCTATACCTACGTACATTATGCAGTCCACCTTGCTTCCTGTGAGTATTTGTGAAGGCATAGAGAGACGCACCAGAGACTTCCTGTGGGGTTCTACACATGAAACAAGGAAAATTCATGTTGTGGTGTGGGAGAATATTTGCCAGCACAAAAGAGATGGCGGACTTGGGTTTCGAAGAATGAGAGCTATGAATCAGGCTCTTTTAATGAAGGTGGGCCATGGCATGCTTACACACAAAAATAGCCTTTGGGTTCAAGTTTTGAGAAGCAAATATTCGGTTGGAGATGATCTGGTTCTTTGCTCAAGCGCACTAGACAATGTTCGAATTTGTGGAAAGGAGTGATGAGAGTATGGCCGAAAGTAATTCTGGGGTTTGCGATTCAACTGGGTGATGGTTCTAGTACTAATTTGTGGAGAGATAGTTGGCTTTCAAATGGTGAATTAATCCAACCGAAGGATGGTGTGTGTATCACGGAGGATTTTATCACTTGGAAGGTGGATCGTTTTGTCAATGCATACGGCGTTTGGAACTGGCCTCTACTCAAACAATGGGTTTCAACCAACTCTTACAAGGCTATAGCCAACGTTATGCCTCCCCACGGTCAAAATGGAGAAGACTTGGTGACTTGGGCGTTGACTTGCGACGGGCTCTTCTCTGTGAAATCCGCATATTATTCTTTTGAAGTTTCTACGTCAACTCAAGGGGTGAAGAGGAATTTGTGTCCTTGGAAATGGAAGGGGCCTGCTCGAATTCAACTCTTTCTTCGGAGAGCTTTAGGAAACTTCCTGTAAACGAATGTAGCTAGAGGCCAGAGAAATTTAACCTCCTCCATTTTGTGTCCCCGATGCAACCTTGTTCCGAAAGACTTGTTGCATGTCCTGAGAGAATGCATCTGGACCAGAGGAGTTTGGAACCTTTTAATTAGTCCTGACCTTCAGCCTGCCTTTTTTGAGCCCAATCTACAGGACTAGATTATGTTTAACCTTGACTCTTCTGCAGTCTTTGATTTTCGTTGGGACTGGAACCAACTCTTTGGTGTCCTCCTATGGCTAATTTGGAAGGCTAGGAATGAGCTTGTCTTCAATCAAAAAAATCTCAGCCAGGAAGAGTTAATCAGAGAAGCTAAGCTTTTCGTTTCCAATTACAGGGGAGCAACGATGCAGCTTGGCAGTTATGGAGCGGGCAGTAGGGAGAGGATACAGAAGTTCATTTGCTGGCAGTTTCCACATGATAGTTGTATTAAACTGAATGTCGATGGCTCAAGTAGTATGAGAGGTGCTTACTCTAGTTGCGGAGGAGTGCTTAGAGACGCAGCTGGTAGATGGATAATGGGATTCAGCAGAAACTTGGGAGCCGGTTCATCTTTGAGAGCAGAAGTTTGGAGCCTCTTGCATGGTATTCAACTTGCCTGGAATCTTGGGATTACGAAGATTTGGATTGAGGGGGACTCACAGGTTGCTATCAACCTTGTTTCCAGAGGCTGTGAGAAGTCTCACCCAGTTGCCCCGTTGATAAATCAGATCAGTCACATGCTGCAAAGATAATGGGAAACCAAGCTTAGCCATACGTATAGGGAAGGAAACATGCTAGCCGATTATCTGGCAAACCATGGAAGTACTTGGGATGACTGGGACCTCCATATTCTTCACGAGCCACCCCTGGATTGTAAAAACCTCTTAAGTAGGGATTTGAGGCGCATTTCTAGCCCTAGACTTTGTATTTTATTTTCCCCTATTTACAAAAAAAAAAAAATATATATTATTATCTTTTTTAATAAATATGCACGACCGGTCGGTTTGAGTTAGGTCACTGGTTTTACAAAAAATCAAATAGTTTGCATCAATTCTGTTAATGTCCAATCCAATATGAAGCTCGAAATGATTATATGACCATTTACCAATTTTTGGGTTGACCTGGTCGGTCGATCTGAATTTTATAATACTAAAAAAAAAAAAAAAAAAAATTTCTCAGATCCGCATAACTCATTATAAACAATTAAAAAAATAAATATAAAAGCAGTTCTTCCTCAGGGCCCACGGAAGTAAATACCCACAACCAGCAACTAACTTTGGGGGCTACCAAATTGCAGAATACACATGTAACGCCCTCAAAATTCAAATGGTTAAATAACCATTCTTTGTAGCCGGACATTGCCTGATATTAGCAATATGAATTTTTTCAAGGCAACCCATTTATTTTATTTTATTAACTTTTTTGATAAAACTCTGAATACTCGAAAGAAGGTTTTGCTGTTTAAAAGAACTTGTTCAGCGAAGGGATTGATATTCCTGCACCCAAGGCTAAAACCCGCATCAAACCCATGAATACAAAGGTATTCGCTCCCACCCAGAAACTCAAACTCGAACACTGTCAGCGGAAAAGTATTGGCCTTTTTGGGGTTCATGTTCGCCGCCTCCAAAGCCCTTCGAAGCTAACTTAAATTCGAGGAAGAATGTGTCGGGGACTTCAAACTCTTATGATGATTTTGTAAGTTGATTATTGCACAGGTCTTCATAAGTAAGTATATATTGTCTGTTCTTTCAGATTTTAATAAAACCAATAAATATCTATATAGTGCTAATTTAGCATGATATTATCATGAAAACGGACGTGTCACGTGAAAAAGTGATCATGTTATTTGATCACAATTATTTATCTAAAACTTATACACTTTTTTTTCTGTTATCTCATTATCACATGACCACTTTTTTACACGAGAGGATCCACTCCTTATTATCATAAACTCAAAATTTTTGTTATCAAAAAAAAAAAAAAAAAAAACTCAAAATTTTAAATATACATAGAATATGATCAACTTATGCCAATGTAAGAATAATAATTTTTGTATATTTAACGATTGAGATTTATTGGGATACATGCAAGAAAACACAATAAGTATAAATGAAATAAAAATAATAATAACCCTTTGCAATTCTTTGTTAAGCTTATCCTCTTGTTACTCTTGCTGTGCAGCATGGAATAACATTGCTTAGAACCTGGAGAAGAATGAGCATCACTCCAACTCTTCCACCTCTACAGAATTTCTCCATATATGTGACTACTCTATTTTTTGTTAAGTTTAATTGAGTTAACTAGAGTGAACTTGGTCGAGGGATTAACGTGGCCAACAAAGGTGAATGCCAAGAACAATGGTACGAGTAGTTTTTGCTCAAGGACTAATGTGCCCGACGCTATAATTGTTGAGACCAAAGTCGGGGTTTACACATATTTTTAATTACATGCAGCCTTTTTATATTCCCCCTTTTGTCTCATCTGTTAATTTTTGTGTTCTGATTATTTTGTGTTTGCACTGTACTTTAGCAGATGCGATATAATATGACACGAAGTTCAGGCATTTTCAATCAAGTAATTTAGTGACTTCCCACTTGGTTAATTTGAAGTTTGTGATTTGTCGTTCGTGATATAATTGCATACCTTAAAGCACAAAGTATTTGCTACTGTGCCCTTCTAGCTGGAGTTGAAAAGTAATGCTATCTTGGGTTGGCTTGTCATTTTTTTCATGGAACTTATTTTGGGATGTACGAGTTTTAGAATATGCTTGCACTCTTTTTTAACCCTTCTCTTTTACCTTGCGTCCATCCCTAGTGGCTCAAAATTTAACAAAAGCCATGGAAAATTAATTTAAAAAGATCTGTAACTTTAGCCCTTATATGGCATTTTCCATGCATCAGAATATCCACAATTTCGAAACTTTTACTTTCACCCTGTCAATTTAATCACGGGTTTCCAATATGCACACACCATGCCATTCATAATATTTCAAATCTCAAACTCCAAAAATTTCTTTGATTTTGATCAAATCTCACACAGATCTTTACAGAAGCCGAGGTTCAATATGCCAGAAGCCTATACACAATACAGAATCATCTCATTTTTTTCTTTTAATGATGAACTTATTATTTCGTCCTCTTGAAGCACTGAGCAGGAGACCATTCATAATCCTCTCAGTTACACGGAGTATAATCCAGTCAACCACACATACAGCTGTCACTAACATGTACAAGTATGGCATAATTCCAAATAATCTCCCAAAGGATGAGATGTTCAGGTAACTACAGCATAACAATGCATTTAGTTTCAATATGGATTACCCTGAATGGGTTGGATGTGCTTTTCTTCTAGCAAAGAACATCAAAAACCGCGGAAAGAATGACTTCTTCTTCTTCTTTCCAGTTTTTGTTTCCGGGGATGATCCAGTTTCATTGTTGTTTGTGTGGACATAGGCCTTTGGACTCACGTAATGTACAGGAATGGCTGCATTGTGAGCTTGGTCAAAGTTATTTGATTCTTTACTCCTGTTGAAACTAACCCTGGGACTGTTATTTTGGTTTACCACTCCTTGGCCTAAATCACCAGCCTTTCTTTGTTGCCCGTGTTCAGCCCTCCACTTTCTTAATTCTTGTTCTACACCTAATTTTCCTTCCCTTGCTTTCTCGGCTTTATCCATTGCAATCTTCAGAGATTCCCTTCTAGCAGCCATCTCTCGATTCACTTCATTAAACTTCTCCAAGGTTTTCAATTCAGACTCCTTAGCTATCTCAATTTCAGAATTAGCAGCAGCAACCCTCATATTGGCTTGCTCTTCTGCGTCATGGGCTTGTTTGCTAAGCTGATAGTATTCCTCCAATGAAAGTGCGACCCCAGTGGATGAATCCACTGCATTGTTGCTTCTAGCCAATTCACTCTCTTGCAATGCTTTGATTGCTGCTATCGCCAACCTTTCAGAAGCCCTTGCAGCCTCTATCTCCTTTTGAGCTGCGAGTAATCTACTTTGCATTGTACTTGCACCAGCCTTGGCTTGCTCTGCCTCCTCCTTTACTTTCCGCAGCTCTTCACGAGCTGCTTGAGCAAGCAAGTTTGCCTGATTAGCCTCTTCAGCTGCTTGCTGTAGTTTCTTGGGAAGCTCGATCATTCTCTCTCTACCTTCTTTTTCCCTCGTCTGAACCAAAACTTTTTCTGATCTAGTGTTGTCTAGTTCAGCTTCAAGAGATGCAACTGTAACGGAGGCCATTCCCTCCCTCTGCCTAATGGAGGCAAGAGATGATTTCTCCTTTTCAATTTCTGATTTTAATGATGCTACGGCCACCCTTAAGTAATTAACCTCAGCTGTTGCTTTCTCTATGTTAAGCTTTACTTCCTCAAGTTCCTTTTTGGCTGATTCAACTGCTGCTTGTATTTCATTATGTGTCTTCTTCTGTCGTTTCTCTACGTCTCCTTTTGAGACTCCTTCTTCATCACCTTCTTCATTTGACTTTGATTCCATATAAACATTTAATTCAGCTTTCAAATCAAGCAGCAAAGCAGAGGCTGTGCTCAGTTTAGATTTGAGATCCTTAGCAGACAAAATTTTCTGGTTGAGTCTCTGGAGCTCTTCTTCTGCTTGTTTAAGTTCCTTCTCCCAATTAAGAGAATCTTGATCTCTTGCCATCACTGTTCCTATTCTGTGTTCCTCGGCTTCCATGTGTGCAGCATGTGCAGTTTCCAATGACTCCTTTGTGGCAATTAGCTCAATAGTCAAATCTTCCACTGTCTTCTCTACTTGCTTTGACGCAGCAACAGCCTCTTCAGCTTTCTTAGCAGCTTCACCTTTCTCAATAACTAAGGAAGCATATTCCTTACGCAATGCGTCCAGCTCCTCTTTCACAGATGTTAACTCTGTAATAGCAGCTGTATACCTGGCTTTAGCTACCTCAAGTTGTGCCTTCTTTGCGACGCTAGATTCATCTGCAATACCCTGCTCCATCTCTTCCACCCTGAGCTTTGCAAGTTCCGAGTCCTGTCTTGCTTGACGCTCTTCTGTTTGTGCCCTCTCTAGGTTAAGTTTTAGTTCCTCTATTAGCCTCTTAGTGCTGTCCAGCTCTTGCAGTACATGGACTTTTGCTTGTTCAGCAGCCTCTGATTTTTTTCTGTACTCTGGGATCTCCTCATGTGCTTTTTCAAGTTCTTGTTCTACATTCTTGCGTCTCTGTATATCCAGAGAAAAAAAACTAGACTAAACTGCAGTTCCAGCAGAAAAAGCTACAATGTATAGTCATTAGTACATATAACTTATCTTCCTGCCTTGAAGATAATTATTTGGTTTTTGACAAAGTAAAATAGCATTAGGTCAATATTGCCAACCCCAGGCTTGTGGTAAAAAGATTTCATTGTTGGTGGCAGGAAGCAAGCAAGCATGGAAGACAAATCATTATTGCTCTCTACTTTGTATTGCAAGGATAACAACTTTTTTTACAAAGGAAAGACAAAATTTAGGCCAAAAATACCTATAACTCTTCCCTTGTTTCTGTCCAAAATCCATCGGTAAACAAGGAAATCATAAAATACAATTTTATAAAATGTATCTGAGGGCTGAAATTGCTTTATAGTTGAAGCAAAAGTATTAACTCTCGCAATCACGCAATTCATAGTTTCCTTGTAAATAATATTCTAGAAATAAACTTTATATTATAATATTTCCACAAAAGTAAGATATAGAATACACTGTTCTCCTTGCCAAAAGAGTTTACAGGAAATTATTTGCTAACAAAAGGATAAGTTACGCATAAAATCTAGCAACAATTTGCCAGGATAGTAAATTTTACAGATACAACATATTTAAAGGTAAACTTTGTTGATACGCTACGTAACTAGAATTGAGGCAATATATAGCAAATACTTCCATGTTTTCTGATTTATGTGTACATGCCTCTTCAAGGCATCAGGAAAGGTATGATTTGCCCTACAAAGTTGTGACTTGTCTCAACAGATAATGAGTTTCACATTGTTATCATTAACATTAACATGAAAACAGTCACCAAAGTAACATCTCAGTGTTGGTTGTTTGTTTCTTAACTATCTTTATTTTTTTCTCCTATCATAGCATTTTCCTCATGGCCTATCTTGTAATGAATATTTGGTTTATCTTTAAGCAGTCAAAACAGCCAAAAGAATTCTTTCCCCAATGAAGCATTAAAGTAAGGTAATTTTAAGAAAGACAGGTATACCTCCACGGTTTGGGCTCGATGAGCCTTCCAATCCACGATTCCTCCAAACTTGGAAACAGCTTCCTTGACAGATTCAAATGGAGCTGCTGTATCAATAAGGCCTCTTTTTGCAGCACTTTGCTCTGCATTTGTAGGTGAGTCAACAGCTCCCACAGCAACATCAGTAATCCTGGTTTGAGAAGGATGTCTCTTTAGTTCTTTGCACTCATTCTGCAACTCTTTTATTTCAGAAGAGGAAGCCGAGAGTTTCATCTGATTATTAACTTCACTGCCCGCAATGACAGTAGAACCACCATCCTGCTGCCTATTAAACATATCTTCTAAAGCTCCATGTTCAGAATCTGCAGCAGCGGCTCCCTGGTAGCTCTTTTCATTTACATGAACCATAGCATTAGGAGTTGAAGCTGAATTATCTATGGGAACACCAGTAACCATGGTTTGAGGTGGGTCTATCTTTAGTTCTTTGTTGTCATCCTGCAACTCTTTTGTTTCAGAAGAGGAAGCCGAGAGTTTGATCAGATTATCAACATCACTGCCAGCACTGGCAGTAGAGACACCATCCTGCTGCCTGTTAAGGATATCTTCTAAAGCTCCATGTTCAGAGTCTGCAACCACGGCTCCAAGGTGGTTTTTTTCTGTTACATGAACCATAGCATTTGGAGTTGAAGTTGAATTATCAATGGGAACATCAGTAACCTCAGTTTGAGGTGGGTCTATGTTTAGTTCTTTGTGGTCATTCTGCAACTCATTTGTTTCAGAAGAGGAAGTCAAGAGTTTAATCAGATTATCAACATCACTGCTAGCAGTTACAGTAGAACCACCGTCCTGCTGCCTGTTAAAGACATCCTCTAAAGCTCCTGGTTCAGAATCTGCAGCCACATCTCTGTGGTGGCTTTCTTCTGTTACCTGTACCGTAGCATTTGGAGTTGAAGCTGAATTAACAATGGGAACATCAGTATTCTTGGTTTGAGGTTGGTCTATCTTTAGTTCTTTGTGGTCACTCTGCAATTCTTTTGTTTCGGAAGAGGAAGTCAAGAGTGTAATCAGATTATCAACATCACTGCTAGCAGTGACAGTAGAACCACCATCCTGCTGTCTGTTAAAGACATCTAATAAAGCTCCTGGTTCGGAATCTGCTGCCACGGCTTCCTGGTGGCTTTCTTCTGTTCCATGAATTGTAGCTTTTGGGGTTGAAGCTGAATTATCTATGGAAAGATATGCATCTTGTCCTACATTTTGACCATCAGAAGCATTTGGTGACTTTGCTGATTCAGAGAACTCGGTCATTGGCAAATGAGTGCCAGGCTCCACTATACTATTACTAAGTGGGTTGATTGGAGCTTCAATGGAAGACCGATTACTGGGTGGGTTTATCACTTCAGTATTTTCCTCAGGGGTTTCTGCCATTGGCTTCAGTTCAGCACTTCTTGATGAGAATTTTGAAGTTGGTTTGTCTTCAACATCCTCCATTTGTAAGAAGCAACCGGGATTGCTCAAGGTATCTACAAGGCAAGTAATAAAGAAAATCAATCAGTGAAAACATGAAAGCAAAAACAAAGAGTTGCTGTCTGTATAACCTTTTGATTTAATCAAATTAGAATTAGAAATAAAATATGATTCAGATTAAGAGGGATGGTTACTGCCTAAAGCCACAAAATGACAATTGATTTCTATATATAACATTTAATGGGAGTCTGAATTAGATCAAGATTTATGCAAAATTGCATGAAACACAAGATGATGCTCTTTCTTGCGTTTGCGCATTGTAGAGAGGACAGATTGATACTTCTTTATGGGGAATTCTAATTCCCCCAAAAAAAGTTTAGCCAAAATAGAATGACAGATATGAAACAAAACATTCTAAAGTTACTGTAATTTGATAGATATATAGATCCCCTTACAAAAGCTATTTTATTTCAAGTTCCAACCATCAAGAACTTTACTTCTGAAGTTACTTAAGTACCTATAGTGGTTGAACATCAATGAATGAAAAAAAAAAAAAAAAAAAAAATACAGAATTTTATGATGCATGAAAAACTAATAGTTCTTCTTCTTCCCTTTCCATACACATTCATACTGAAATCAAAATTACAATCCGGAAGACAAAAGAAGAAGACAGAATATGTGGGTACATGAAAAATAATATTTTAAATAATAATGCCAACAGATAAAAGAAACCCATGCATCTATGCTGATACAAAACTAAGTTCATATCCCTGTATTGGAGGCCATGTTAACTCTCTTTAACATGAAGCCATTCAGACCTATATATTACCCCATTAGTGCTGGCTAACCTTTTGAAGGCAAATATGTCAGCTTTCAATTGTTGACCATACTAGGTAACATGAGGACATGTATTCGGTTGCTGGGCAAATGCATCAGTAAACGGTGTTTCGCCAATTTTTAATTGGGTTGTTGAAAACTCTTCTGATATATGTATATACCCATGGAGAAAAACAAAAACAAAAACTTAAGTAAAAGTCCAAATATGGTAGTTAGCAAAGGCAATAGATATCATATCCCTAAGCTTGGTTTCGGCAACCATATGAGAAATAATTATATACAGCTCCAGCTACAATTCATAAATAGTGATCCAAATTCCAAACTTTGCAAACCAGAAAAGTCATGAATATAGGACTAAATAATAACGAAATTTTTGCTAAAGAGTCTTAATGGACATGCAAAGAGGAGATAGGGGAGGAATTCAAAGACAAAGAACAAAACAGATGAAGCAAAAACTTGGTGCGTTGAAAAAGGAAGCATGAAGAAAAAAAAAAAAAAAACAAGAGGCACAGAGAGAGGAACTTACCCGGATTAAGCAGAAACCAAACTGATGATTGAGAGCTAGCAGATATTAATGATCACTGAAAATTTTGAGGAGAAAATACAATGGAAATTAAAATTAGGTTCTGCAAAAAAAAAAATGAATTCAAGGATGAAAAAGTTGCAGCTAAAATTAGAATAGAGAAAAAACCGGGAATTGGTCAACGGTGCACAGTTAGTGGAGCCTACATTGTGACACAAACAAAACAAGGTCCATTCTGTGCTCTCTCTGTCTCTCTCTCTCTCTCTTATTACAATTCAACATGGTTGTTTTTTTTAAAAACAAAAGATTCATGTTTTATTTAAGGGTTTTCGTTTTATCCTTTAACATAACACAACAAACTTTACTACACTCACAATATTTTGTGGGGCCCACACTTTTTCAAACAAAAAAATAAATAAAAAATTAAGGCACGCAAAACGAATCTCTATAACATTACACAATCACTTTTTCTACAACATAACTCTTATAAAACCCTTTATTTAATGTGCTGTATTTCTATTTGCTGCCAGTGTTTGCGGAAAGGTTTGGCTTCTTCATCTTTCGTTGTAAAACACTGGCTGCTACCGGAAAAGTCACCATAAGACTATGACAATAATGCTTGAAATAATAAGGGAATATTATTATTTTATTGTTATATGACGGTTACAGGACAACAGTTGTTTTCACATTCATCTCAATAGCCACCATGCCAGACATTACTAGAGGGGTTACACCTTCTATTTCTTTTTTCTTTTACATATAAAAAAATTATCGGCAAGAAATCTAAAAAAAAAAACAAAACTTATCAAATAAATACATATTATTTAATATTGGGGAAACAAAAATTTTAGTCTTGATCAACTTATTATCTTTATTCATAATAATGCATATAACAATGTTGGTGAAAGAAAAATAAACATGTTTGGCTGAAATTATGTAGTATTCATTGTGGGTGTGTTGGCCAGTGTCAGTGTCATGATACAGCCAATTGAGAAATAATCTCATAATCAATAGGTCACAGTAATTATCAAAATTTCTACCTATTTTACCGACAATTTAGAATATAGTTATTTTTTGATTAATTTAAAATACATCATAATATTAGTCAGTCAAAATCTAAAGATAAGTACCTCTTAATGGGTTGATAATTTTTATTTTCTTAAAAAATTATAGGATTATTGTAAAATATTAATTTAAGAATGATTTGAATTTCAAATATAAATTTTGTAACTGTTAGCACTAATGATACAATTATCTCTCATTTATAATTTTATAACCACCATATATTAATGGAGGATTAATTATGTCATTTATGGTCGTAATCTTATATATGGATGTTCTATTGAAAAACAATTGAATAATGAGAATACAAAATTCACTTTACTTCCCTTTGATTTTTCTTTTCTTTTCTTTTATCTTATCTTATAACATAACTTTCTCTTTTTTCTCTCCTTTTATTTCATAACAAGTATAACCCTTTTTGGACTTTTTTAAATTACACTTTTTAACTTCTAAAAAATATCAAAATAGTTTTCTAAAATTTTTATTTTTTTTTAAAATAACTATTTTAATTATTATAAAAAAATTAAATGCATATTTATTTAAAACTTACCCTTTTTAAAAAGAATATATATAAAAAAAATTGATATAAAATAACTAATTAAAAAAGTAGGTTGATGACAGTTTTTAATTAACAATGTTTTGATAAGAAGACAAAATTAAAATAAAGGATTGAATCCTCTATTAACACAAGGAGTATGAGAATATTAAAGAGGATATCGTAATGATATTCTTCGTACTCGTGCATGATATATATTGATAGCAATTCTTATACACTGTGGACTAATAATATGAGTTACAGGACAAAAGTTGGGCAGATGCATTTTTTCAAAAAATTATTAAGATAATATAATTTTGAAACTTATTATCAGTAATGAGTCTTCGATTGAGGTGTAAGACTCGTTGGATTGATCCACATGTAAAATGGTGATTAGGGCTTGTATTTTAAATAAATATTAATCATAGTTAAATCGTACAAATAATCAACCTTATACATTACTTGATAATAAATTTTAAAATTGTATTATGCCAATAACTTTTTCTTTTTTGTAAACAGCCAATAACTTTTTTTTTTAATTCTTTCCTATTTCATCCCAAAATTTTTTTTTTTTTTTTTAAAAAATGCATTACATTAATCATTTTGCCCAATCAATTATAATTATTTGGTCAATCGAGTCATAACAAATGGTCGCAAGGCATGGCTTGCGTGTCACGCAAGTTACAGAACAGCAAGTGGTCATTGTAATTTTGGCGTTGGGCCCAACGGCTCAAAAAAGTCCAACTCACATAAGACAATATGTCATCCTTTGGGTCCATATGTGGAAGAAGCATGGACCGATGATACTCATAAAAGCTTCAATCATACTTCATGGTACGAAAATTGCATTAATGAAAAGCAATTGTTAACATTTTGTGTCTGTTACCTTCTGCCAATATGGGGCATAGTCAGTATTGCTTTATTGATTGGGCCTTTGGCCCATATCCTAACGAAAGAAATCACTGCTTCATTAGTTTATTTATTTATTTTCTAAATTTTGTTAACCTTCACGCTATGAGCCATTATTCTGCAATCTATCTGTGTTATAAGCAATAACTCTTTTCTATCAAATTGACTAATACTATTTTAAATATGGGTAATGATATATATTTACCATCCAAAAAAGTTTATCACCTTCTAATCACCGTTGATTTCCGTCAATTTAACGGTTATAATTTATTGAGAATTATTGAGTCGTATTTATTGATTAATTATTAATTTTCAAAAATTCAATAAATTATAACTGTTAAATTAACAGAAATCAACGATGATTAAGTTGGTTGTAAATATGATAAACTTTTTTGATGGTAAGTATATTCTGCCCTTTAAATATAATCAAAAAGTCTTAAGATAAAGCTTCAAGATGGCGGGTGTTAGTGATTTATATGAGATAATAGTTTTTCTGTGCTTGTTCATCAATTCTATTCAATATACTTTAATTGCCCTTTAACTTATTTTCTCTTCGTTGCACCAAGTCATAAAACTCATTTGTAACTGTTGAAAAAGAATTAACCTCGTATATATATATAGTTAATTAGTTGACACAATTAATAAAATTTAATTTGTATAAGAATCTAAAATTAATTAAATCTCACTTTCATAATGAAGGATGGAAGGATTTTAATTATATAATATCCTCTTAATTATAAATGTAGTCTTCAATTCGTTATCTCATAATGACATCATTTTGGGATTAGGAGAATTTTTTTTTTTTTGTAATTCTAATTTATTTGGGACTATATATTAATCTTTATTTACTATTTTTTTCTGTCGATTTCAAAATGACATTATTTTGAGATCGTATGAAATAATTTTATCTTCTGTACCCTAAAAAATATTAAACCCCAAATCATATTATTAATTGTTGAAAAGACAATATGCCCCGGGCAATAGCCCTCAATTGTAAGAAAAAGAAAAGAAAAGAAGAAGACAATATGCCCAACTTAAGTGGTTTAGGTGGAAATTAAGCGAAGTCGTATTGGAGCTACTTAATTAACTATCATGGGAAGAAGGTACAATTAAGCATATTTAAAAATAAAATAACGGATTTCATTACCTAATACGAATGATCATATAAATTATTGACTTTGCCCCGGATCAACTTGTAACGTCTATTTGGTTGGAAAGAGTGGCCATAAATGATGATTTTTTCGGGCTCTATTTCAGTAGGTGTACCTATATGTTTGCTCAACCAATCCTTTCACTAGCCAATTCCATCATTATCATCTCAGATTCTTTCCTTCTATATATTACAACTAATCATTTTTTGAGTAGTTGCTCTTGGAAAAACTTGGGAACGACAGTGACCATAAATCAAGCACAATATAATTTAAGTAATAAGTTGATTCACTTTCATAAAGTGATAATCCAAACAGAAAATATTGGTTGTTTTACCCCTAAAGTCGGCCATGCATGTGATTGATCTTTCTAAAAGTCAATTAGTCACTATTTTTCTATAACGTTCACACACAAAAAAAGGTACAAATTTGATCCGGTGTAAAACTTTTTTTTGTCATTATCTAACGATGTACGGATTCATTATTAAAAAATTATACTTTAAATACTAATTGTGATAATCAAACATTAATAATTAAATAATACCTGAATGAGTAATATTGCAAAGGAGTTTTAATGAATCAAAATTAAAGTATAAAATATATATTTGTATCTATTATTAGAATGAATAATGGGTTTATCATCTATCATTTAACATGACCACAAAAATTTTCCTACACACACAACATTTTGTGGGGCCCGCAGCAAAAAAAAAAAAAAAAACTTCGGCACGCAAAACGAATCTCTATAACATAACACAATCACTTTTCCTACGACATAACTCTTATAAAACCCATGAATAATATATAGCTAACGGTAGCTCTAGCTAGGCTCTCTCTCACATCTTTTACTAGCCCACAAGGTGCAGAAGCATTGGTTAAGCGAGGTTTTATCTTAATTTTTCTTATGCTGTATCATATTCACACATAAATCAACTAAGGGAGAAGCGAGGTTTGCACTATATTTATTGAGTTTTTACATTTTGTTTCCTCTATAAAATTAGTTGAAAAAAAAAATAAGAAGAATATTGCAGAGGAGAGAAAGTAAAAGAAAAAGAATCAATAAATATGTAAAATATGATTATTTTACTTAAAATGATACAAAATTAATTTTTTAAAATAAAAAAATCTTAAAGAGAATATAAAAAATTACAAAATAAAAACCATAAATAAATAAACTGCATGTTATCGCTATCCACGTGAAACGTGTCTGTGCATGTACGTATAAAAGGAGAAAAAAAGAAAAACAAACCAAATAAAGCAAAAGAAAAATATAAAAAAGAAAATGTTTATATAACCTAATTGATTAATCCATCAAAAGAGAGCCAGATCTTCTAGGATCAGTAACATTGATGTTCCAATGTTGATCAGGTAATCCCAACTTGCGAGCTTTCCTCCTTTCCCAGTTCAACTCAGTCCTACGTCGTTTCGTCAACCTACACAAACTCTGCAACCTCTTATCCATTTCATCATGTAGTTTCCACCACGTTCGATGCGCCACGTCACTCGCATAAACCCTTTGATCCTCAACATCCCAGTTACAATCATAGTCCCTGTAACAATGCCAAGGCTTCAATCCTAGGTAATGAATAGCATACAACTTCGGAGGATCCGAACCGAACAACCCGTTCTTCACGGTGGCCTCCACCGTCGTGTTCGCCCAGAAATTCTTCAGGAAATTCACCCTCCTCGGCAACCTGTGCCACCACACGAAGATCTCGTTCAGGAACCCTTGGTCACCGCCGTTGTACGAGACGACGTCGTTTCGATTCTCCATTAGGACGTTGAAGGTGCAGTTGGAAGGCTCGATTACCATGACCCCCGAGTTGAAGATCGATTGGTCGTTTCCCGTTGCCGACATCTGAGGGAAGTGGAAGAGAATGTCGAGGTTTCGGAGTACGATGATGTCGGAGTCGATGAAAATGACCTTGTCGTAATTTGAGAGCTGCCATAGGCGGAACTTGCTGTAGTTGTACTCGTTGTACGTGCCGTTCTCGGCTCTCGGGTTTCGGATCCGGGTGATGGTTCGGATCTTCCAGCCGGCGGCGGCTAGTGCGCGGCGTTTGGGGGCGGAGATGGATTTGTTGTCGAGGAGGAGGATAAGGTCGCGTTTGGTTCCTGTTTTGAGGAGGCTCTGTGCTAAGGTTATTGCGCCGCAAACGTATTTTTCGGAGGAGTGGAGAACAGTCGCGTAGGCCTCGCGTTTCGCTCTCGTTCCTTTTCTCACGCTTCGTTCGATCTTCGACATGTCGTACACGTCATCGATCCCTGAAAATTCAACATTTTATTTTATTTTATTGTTACAAAATCAAAGGAGTTAATATTATATAATATGCATGTCCTATTCATTTATATTCTCGTTGATCTAAATTAATAGAGAAAAGTGTTTACAACTAAACTTTATTGGAAAAGTATTTTTCCTTTTAAATCACATAAAGTTATGTCATTTTAAGAGAGAGATAGACACAAAATAAATTTTTTTATTTAAAATTTAAATAAAAAAAACCATCAACTTTCTCTCTCTCATTATTTTCATTTCTTGTGTCTATCTCTCTCCTACAATGACAAAACTTTTGTCATTTAAAATGCCAAACATCAAACCCCTTTATACATAAAAAAAAAGATGGGTTAGGATCCGTTTACAATTTTTTTTTACAAATTACACTAAGTATGACCGGTCATACACCAGTCATACACTCTTGATTGAAGTATGACCGGTCATACTTAATGTAGCTTGTAAGAGTTTGTAAATATAACCTTCCCAAAAAAATATCCGCTAATAATTTTTTATCTATGAAATTGACTTGTGTTCTTTCAAAGAGCGCCCACATTTTTAATCTTGTAATTTTACACAAAAATAATTTTTCAGTTAAACTTTCTCTTGAGCATTTGATTGTAAGTGTATTTACAACACTAAATAATTCTTTTATTAAGATGGTTGTATCAAGTAATAAAAAATGCTTTTACTCTAAATCCCAGAAGATACCACCAAAAAGAAAAATGTTTGCGAGAAACTAGGGAAAAAAAATTAGGGGAAATTCTTTGCGAGAAAATACAATGCCAACTGGAGGGAAAAAAAAAACTATGACCTATATCTTCAATCTTACGAGAAATATTACATGAAACTTTGCTTCATGATTAAAAATAATTTATAAAGACCTACTCGAGGGTCTGTACTCTGTATTCATATCTTGAAAAACTAATTAAAAATTTGTTAGTTAAGCTTGATGTGAGGTATCAACTAATTCAAAAACTACACCTACTACGTATTATAAATAAAGTAATAAATAAAAGTAGGATTGTAAATACAGACACAAGGTCAGTAACGCGCCTGTAGCTCAGTGGATAGAGCGTCTGTTTCCTAAGCAGAAAGTCGTAGGTTCGACCCCTACCTGGCGCGTAATGCTTAAATGGTCAATTATTCTTAGTTTTGGAAGGGGTTTGTTTTTTATTTTTGTTTCAAATGTATGTGCTTAGTTTGCTTTATAAAGGAAAACCAGAAAAGATAAGCCTTTTAAGTATCTACTCACTTTATTTTACCTGCTTGATGTAAGTAAGATAAAGCAGAGAGATGAAATTTAAATTTGTGTAACAACATTACCTTTATCCCATAGAGGCAAAGACAAAGTGCAAGACCCAACAGGCAATGAAAGCTTATTCTCCAATCTCTTAACCTCTGGCTCATAATACCACCACTCACCTTCATGTTTAACCAAGTCATTGCATCGAAATAACTCCATCATTGGTCTACACTTGCTCCAAAAAACCACTTTTGTCTTCAATTTCCAATCCTTCTTCCCTTTCTTCACTGCCATATTTGCTACAATAAGATGAACTTGTAACCTGAAAACATCTCTTCCCCACCCTTCTTCAGGATTCTTGCATGGCAACTTGGCCACAATTACATCCATGCTTTCATCATATGCTGCAAACTCTGGCATAGGTATCTCTGGACATGATGGAACATCACTCTCTTCTTCCTCATCTATCCATTCAGGAAATAAATCTGTCCAATTGAAAAACTGTGATACCCTCTCAAAATAAACAGCTATTGTTTCTCCTTGCAATCTCCATTCACTAACATCATCTTCATGCATGTTCACCATTCCAATCTTCATTCCTTTCCCCATTTCACGAAAGAAGCTAGGCACCTCTAGCTTGGTCGCATTCTTCTTTGGCCTCCATGGTTTCGCTTGAGGTAATTCCTCCAATACTGCTTTCATTTTTATGCTTTTTTCTGTCTACAAGTTTGAAACAACATACAAATATTTAATTTTGGATTAGAATCATTTTACACCAGTATAAGTTACACTTTCAATCTTGATTGTTAATCCTAATTATATCTAGCGCTTTAGTTTATCAAATATGTGAACATTCAGATACAAGCAAATCAATAAACAAGATTTTATATAAAACTTTTTATTCTTAAACCGGTGTAAGAATAACCTCCTCTTTAATCTTACGTTATAAAAAAAATCTCATCCAATCCTATAAAATCGTATGCTGCATTACCTTACCTTGTGAGAGAACCTAACAAGAGAGGCTGCATTCTCGAAATAGACTGAAGAAGATGGACGGAGAAGAAGGGTTGCATAAACAATAAGAAATATGGCAAGACAGAGCAAATTGATTCTGATAACCAAAGCTTTAGATGATGCTGTCTTCACCAACTTTCGAAGACTCCAAAATTCCATACCCTTGAGCAGTGTTAGCAGCAGCGGTGCTTCAAATGAAGGGGATTAGACTATATAAGTACATTAATTCCCCACTCTAGATGGAGTAGTAATTAAATATGATAATTAATTAGTTTAAGGAGCAAGGATTTGGAAGTAGTGGTTGGAGAATTATGAGTAAATCTCAAAGCAAGAAGGACCATTTATGTAAGCTCCATTTGTCCTTTCCTTTAATGAGAGACAAAGGAGGTAGAAGTAAAATTGCTTTACTTATATTTGAAGTTGGTGGACACCTATAATTTTTAGAGGAAATTCCAAATGACAAAATTGTCATCATGTGTTTCTCTTGTCCCTTAATAATTTCAGAACCAGATGGGAGGGATAGAGTAGTAAAACAGCAATTCCAATAAAAGATTGTTGGGACAGAGTAGTATAATATTGGAATCTTGTTAAGGGCAGTTGAGCAGGCTCACCCAACAACTAATTGGTTGCCCTGTCAATTTCCTACATGCAAAGAAAGATTGGGCTTATTTGTTCATGAACAGTGAAGCACCACCAATTCCTGATATATTATCATAAACTCGTTTTGGTTATCTTGTACATTATTGATTATTTAATATAAATGTATGTTTATAGGTTGCACGTCAGGACATCATAACTCACCAAAATTATTTCAGGGCATATTTTGCACATGAGAATGGTAGACTATCACATTTTTGTTCATACGTAATCCATTTGACGATTACACCAATGGGACACCACCCTTCCCAATCTTACAATGAAATGGAGCACGCAGTAGATCAACTATGACCTTTATAGGACCATGATACATTACTCTATAGGGAGGTATTTTTCATTATTATCTTTTTTTTTTCCAATAAAATATGTAAGGAAGGGAATCACATGGGAGTCACATTATATCTCAACTCAAGACTTAATGGTGGTAAGGTTATGGGTTTGTTGGATTTCATCACTACTCACACTGATAACCCTAATCTAACCATTTCTTAAATAAATAAATAAATCAAATCTTATTCCCATTTTAATTAATTGAAGGGGAAATAAATGTATATAGTAGTAGAATTCAAGGAATGGGATACATCTATTTCTTAAATATAGAAACTGTCCATATACGAGTAGGAACACCTCTTGCACATTATAGTATTTGATACAACAATGGGATACCATCAATCTCTTTAATTGAAATGGATGTTAGCGGGTATGTCCTCTCACATACGCATATATCTAAACTTGCATCCATTGAGGATCTTTAAAGCAGTATCTGCATCAGAAAACATTTCTATCGAAAAGGCAAGGAGAAGGAATAGCACAACAACTGTAAGACAAAGGTCCTGACATCTTAACATCTGACTTAAATGTGACAACAATAACATCAAATTTGATCGTACAAACCACATAAAACTATGGTTAGCTTAACTTTAGAGGATAGACGGAATGCAACCAAGGAGAGACTCCAGGATGAAAAGGCCTAACCAACTTTTGGAGGGTTCGTGAAGTGAGTAGTAGAATGAAGGTTAAAGGGGACAGAGGAGTGCAAAGAGTAACAGTGGTGAGGTAGATGCATCCTCCTCTGTTCCTTTTCTTCTTCTTCACTTTGAATGCTTGATATTGATATTTTATCGCACTTATTTGAAGGTATATCATCAGAAACGCGAAAGCGCATCGTACCGATGCGATGAGGAATGAAGACACTGTTTTGATTACCTGGGGTGAAGAAGCGAGCGTGACGATTTTTCACCTTCAGTTCTCCTTCTCAAGCCTCACAATCTTGCAGCAACGCACCACGAACGGTCGCAATTCCGGTCTACGGTTGATCTTCCAGGCTATGACTCAAGGGGATCAGGAAGTCGTGTGGGCAACCGTTCAGATGATGAACGTCTGCCTCTTTGGTGTGTTTCTGATGACTGTAACCCTAGGAGGCACTAGAAGAAAAGAGAGTTTATATACTCTGCCCAATCCAAAACTAACCCTAAGCTTCATGGGTTAAAATTGGACTTTGGGCTCACTCTCACTAAAGCTATTGGGCTTAAGTGAAAAGAGCATACTAAACCCAACAATCTCTCACTTGCTCTTTTGGACACAAACTTGAGTTCATAAACTCAAGACTATGTAGCCCATAAGCCATCATCATCTGATTATACAACTCATCCCTTGTCTCGAGCTAGCCTGGAGATCTACCATTTGTCACTCATCAAGGCTCCTGATAATCTTTGAAAGATTATCTAATTCGGCGCTACTCCACTAAAAGCCCCAAATGTGAACTCCAAGATTAATGACCTTTATAACATGAATATGCATCGCCCCTTTGTAGAATGTCTATAATTGATTGACAAGTTTTCTGTAACTCAATCAATTATTTATTCCCTTGACTATGACAGTTTCTCTAATGGATTACATGCACTGACCAGTGTCTTTAATATCCAAGTACCGAAACATATCAAGGGGACATATCCTAACAATTCCGTGTTGTTTATCTCATAAATACTGATAATCAAATAATCTCACTCCCAAAATACCGAGTTATTGGCCGTCAATAGATCGAACCTCACCCGTTGGTAAGTCAAAGAATGAAAACTATTTGATTACCTATTTATAATAAACTTAGGATTAAGAGCAATTACATAACTATAGTTAACTGGAGATTTGATACCTTATGACAGAAGAACAACCTTAATCAAATCTCTCATTGAACCTTTCAATGTGAATGTTAATTCACACCAATATTTTACAATGATTCGGACAAAACCATTTCATAAAATATTGCAGCCTAAATAAAGTGCCCAACTTTATTTAACAACTGTGAATCCATTTATCAATTGTGAGAACCTATGATCATGTCCTCCATGAACGTGTCCATATGATCATTTACTTCACAATTTGATCCAGACCTTGATGTTTGTAAATAGTGCGCAAAATAAATAATACCTTATTTGTAAAATTCAGAAAATGATTACATTATTTCATTATTTTACTCTAAGAGCACAATGAACCCAATATCTCTCACTCGCTTAATGCAAGTCTGAGATCCTCCTAAGACCTAAAGAAGTAACATGCCTCTCGAACACAAGTTCAGGTAAACTCTTAGTAACTGGGTTTGCAAGATCCACCTTTAATGCTATCTGAGTTTAGTGAAAAACTCATAGCTCGAGGTTGATTTTCTTGAGTCAATATTCGCTTGAAATAACTGAATTAGTGAAAACTTAGCTTTTCAAGACTCCCACTAGAATATTCTAGCACATAATCTCTCGTTCTCCAAAGATACTTGAGTACATGCTTAACAATAATATAGTGTTCCTCTATATCCAGAATGGTACCATCTCACTACTCCCACTACGTGACAGATGTCTGGTTTAACGCTCAACATGATATGCATGAGACTACCTTTGTCAAAACATAAGATATCCTGCTCATGCATTCTTCCTTCTCAGAAGTCTTTGGTTACTCCTTAGGAAGATGAATTCCACATCTGAAAATTATAATTCTTCTCTTATAATTCTCATGTTGAATTTTGGCAAGAGTTTTGTCAATGTAAGTAGCCTGAGGTGATGCCAACAACTTATTCTTCCGGTCTCATAAGAGTTTTATACCAAGAATATAATTGGCTTCTCCAGTACTTCCATACCAAAACACCAACTTAGCCAACTCTTTATGCTTGATATTACCTCCACGTTGTTTTCAATAAGGAGTATATCATCTACATAAAGTACCAGAAAAGCTACTGTCTTCCGTTGGATCCTTTACATACAAATACACATCATTCATCAAGTTTCTCTCAAAACCAAAATTTTGATAACTTGATCAAAATTGATGTTCCAAGACCTGGATGCTTGCTTAATTCTATGAAATAGACTTTCACAACTTGCATACCATGTGTTCCTACCCATTTGCTATAAATCATTTTGGTCGTTGTATGTAGATATCCTGACATCCAACTCCCAAAATGAAATCTCATAATTGAGATTTATAGCAACTAAGAGAATATGGATAGACTCAAGCATGGCGTATGGCAAAAATTGTCTCTAAGCTAGCTTTGAAGGTTTTTACCTTCCTGTCCATCCTCTCTTTGCCTTTTATGTCCACATGCACCTTGTGGGTTTTACCCCTCTTGGTGTCTTTACTAGGACCGAACGGAGTTGAAATACAAGTATTTCATCTTATTGTTCATAGCTTGAGCAACACTTGATCAACAACATCTTCTAGTGCATTATCGTAACTAGTAGGATCAATGTCATTCAACAAGAGACAACTTGAGAGTTAACAAGGTTCTCTCCCACTACGAATGTTGTTGCTACTCACGGCAAGTGCACCGATCGTACAAGTAATATATGATTAAGTAAGAGATCGTTCCCACGAGGATTACGGTTCAAGCACTAATTCACTATCGCAAACTTAGTTGGACAATCGAAAGTGTATTTGGAAACAGGATTTGAATTGCAAAATTAAAATATTAAATATTAAGCTAATTACTTGCAAGAATTAAAGACAAGAAATTAAAGATGTGATTTAACTAATAAAATAAAAACGTAGCTAGGGGTTCGATTTCCTTTAATCTCCTTATTATGATTCGAAGTCCTTCTTTACGTTAACCGTCCTTAATATCAATCTAACCAATTCTTTCGCGTGTTATTAGAGCTCAATCCCTTGTTACCCTAAAATCTTTACAAACTTGAAAGAACCCTAGTTCCCCGGTTATTCCCCAAGAATGCAAGCATTAAGTTCAAGAATCTTAAGGTTACACAAATTCTATGTCTATCCCTAGAATCATAGCGTTTACGATGAAGTTATCAGATATGGATCACACACCAACATCCCTATTGTCATGCATTTACCGATGATCATTATATAAGATTCAAGCCTATATAAAGCATTAAAAACAGATAACTTCATTCATGATAAAAAGGAAAATTAACGTACGAATTATTCAAAGCGTAATAAATCGACTAAAATCCATCTAACCCTAACTACTTAAAGAACTAGCCGGACATGGCAAAATCAAGAAC